TATGGTAAAAAGATTAAACACTAAAAGATTAAGACAGACCCAAACAGCTGAAAGAAATAGTTGCACTTCAGAAAATATCTACCCTAGAAGAATATGAAATATTATTAAAATTAAATTTCATTCTTCTTTATACTGTTTTTAAAAATCTCTAAAAATTGAGTAATGCTTAGATTATCTCCCTGTAATACTATGTGCCTTATTCTGGTCTGCTGGACACTTTATTCTTACCATGAAATCAAGAGGAGTAAAGCCAATATTAAGCACATCTGAAAAATGTCACACAAAAGCTAGATGAAGATTCTGGAAGACAGCAAGTAAGTAGCACATTTGCATCTCTGACTGATTATATGGCTTATTAGTTATCCTGGCTATTGAAAGCTATCACTGCATGCATACAGATAAAAGTTTTCAGAAGTAACACAATCTACTGCAAGGTATTCGGGTATGCCATTAAAAACAGATAGTGGCACCAAATAGACTAATAGATAACAACATTCTGCTCTCAAATGCATAGAATCAAAAGATAGATGAAACATAACATTCTGATGGCCTATGAAACATGGAAGCTTGATCACTGTAAAGAACTTAAATTTACAGCACACCCACATTTTCCTTTCTAAATTTAATGGCAGTACAGACTTCCAAATGAACAGGTTACAAAAATTAAAATTATTTATTTGGAGCCTAAAACACAGGCACTGAGCAAGCTTCCACCATTGCCCTAACAATGTTTAGCCGGAGAAACTATCTTTAACTGGCATTTTTCCTCTGTCAGTGTTTGGTTTAATACTGAGACTGACAGGAGGTGGCTTCTGCAATGTGACAAACATCCTCAAGGAGTTGAACTGATGCTTCCAGGCCACTGCATGTAGATGGCCATCAGATGGGGCTGAAGCTCCCTTTTAGTCATTAACTGTTTGAGATGGATGTGACTCAATCTAGAGATGAAAAGGCTCCATATCCAATGATCAGAGCCCTTCAGTATTCTCTCTCCCAATAGCTTGTATAAGTAGCTAGCTCCCAGGCATAAAAACTGCATAAGAACAGAATTCAGATACACATTGGACAAAGGATTAAACAGTATAACTGTTGTCAAGACTCTGAAAGTTTACCAGGAAGGGAAAGGAGGTTTTTTTGCTCCAAATTTTCCACCACTGGTCCCAATCATTAAACAGGTGGGAGTGTAAAACAGAAAGGACTCCCAGCACATGTCAGTGTATAAACAGTGTTGTCTAACTGTCTCCTACAGGTTCACATAGCACAGGGCTTGAAATACCAGTTGCTGCCAGTGCCTTATCTATACCATCAGTGATGTTACATAACATGGAACAAATACTAGTAGAGAACATTACTGAAGACTGGATATATTTCAGCAGCAGCCATACCAGTGCCAAAAACCAAAGTAAAAGAATGTCTCTACTCCTACTTGGGAATCCCCTGCATATGTGGCCATGGATTGGATTACAGGACGCCCCCGCTATACGTCATCTTCTCTTTGCGCAAGCTGGCCCCCTCTATTTTTTTTCCATGTGACATAGCAGGGAAATGGGAGGACTTATAACATCAATTTCTACAAGTGTCAGCTACGTTAGTGCGGAACTGATGTATACTGGGGCAACGTATAGCAGGGATGCCCTGTAGTCCTTTTAACCACAGCCTCACAGTAGTTCATGTGGTTCACAGTGGTTCATGTTCAGCTGATTACCTATGACTCCCAAATCTTTTTCAGAATC